GCTGTGGGCAGCCCCTAGGGGCGAGCCTGGAGCCGGCGCAGAGCCCAGGCTGGCAGCAGGGCCGAGTTACAAGCTGGTGCTGAGTGCAAGGAAAAGCGGCTCCTCGCTCACCCCGCGGCCAGTGCCCCATGCTACAGCTGCTTGCAGCCCGCGTTGCTGCTCAGGACAGCCCTGTGTGGGCTGCGAGTGCCGGCCACAGGGCGGGCGAGGGGCCGCTTTTCTCCACGCTCAGCACCAGCTTCTTCCCTGCCAGCGAGCTGTGCGCTGCCCCCCGCCTGTACTGAAGGGTGGGGGGCACTGGCAGTGAGTGGGTGGGGAGCCAGTGAGAGCACAGGGCCTGCACTGGTGTCCCAGGGCCAATGCCGGCAGAGACCAGACCAGGGTGGCAGGAGCATGGGGTCCTGGCCGGCGGGGGCTCCATGGAGCCAGGCCAGCTCCCCCCTCTCCCTGCTGGTGCAGCTCAGCCTGGCTCCACAGACCCCTGCCAGCCTGTGCCCCGCTTTGGTCCCCACCGGTGCTGGCCCTGGGACATGAGACCAATGTCCCAATGTCTTGGGACCAAAGACATTGGGACATTGGTCCCAAGATGGTGACCAGGGGGCAGGGCACCTGTCAAGGGACGAGGCTACCCATGCGGTCCTCGACAGCCTGCCAAAATTGGATAAGCGGCCCTCCTCCCGAAATAATTGCCCGCCCCTGGCTTAGAGTCTGCTGCTTCATATAGAGCTCAGTATTCCCAGATTTGTAGCACTCAAATCTCAGCTGAATAAGGCATGCTTAATTTTAAGAAGAAAATAGTTCCATTATATTGGTAGTGTTGCTCATGCGCTTATAGTTAAGTATGTGATTGTGAGGTTTGCTAGATTAAAGCCATTTAATTTGGTATTTTGCTGGTCCAGATTGCAATGAATGATGAAATCCAGCCTCATGCTGATGCTACCTTCCATACTGTGTCTTGCTTCTAAATTTGTGGAGTGGTAAAATCATCTATGGAAAATAATAGGCAACATTTCTTTAACTGTCCAGAACAGTTAATGACATTATGACTAAAGTTTGCAGATTCTGACTGATCTTTCTCTGAACCTATGCAAGTAACTTAAATTGATTGTTTACAAAAAAAAAAAAAAAGAAAAGAAAGATAGATAGAAAGATCTGTTGTTGTTGCAAGTTGATGCGGAAACTTTTTTTTCTCACAGTGATATGCAGTAGGGCCTTGCGAAGCTTCGGTAGCTGATTTGATTCAGAGGAGATTTGGCCTGATTTGATGGCCGAATCTCCAAATCCGAATCAACTTTGGAGACTCATTAAAAGGTCTGAATCGAATCGGAAGCCTCCAAATTGATTCGGAAAAATTCAGCACCAATTTGGATATTTGGCCATAGACTAAACAGACAGTTGATCTGCCCGCCCTCCCCATGCCCCTTTCTTCCCCTCTCTGCCCACCACAACAGACTTACCAGCTGGAGGCAGCTGTGTCCAGTGTGGTTGAGGACTGCTGCCTGTTTAGTCTATGGCCAAATCTCCGAATTGGTGCCGGATCTTCAAATCCTATTCGACCGAATTGAATTGGGACAGTGACTCGAATCCCAGAGTGAGAATTGAATCACTCTTCTTCCAAATCAGCTTCTCACAGGCCTAATATGCAGACATGTCCAGTAGGTTTCCCTGTCTTATTTTTAGTGGTTCCATTCTTCATTCTATTCCATGATCTAGATTAGGATATTGGTTTGTATTTTTTTTTAAATCTATTTTTAAGAGGCATTAGTTTGAATTAGTAGTCTTGGCAAAGCACTCACCTTATTTTGCCCTAAAAGAAAAGTTACTTACCTATTGAAAGTAAAGCTGTAGTTGCTATATTTCTATTCCAGGTCTGTTGTGCACTGTAATAATTTCCTCTTTGTATTTCTGTAGGTGTTCTTTGCTTTTATGCTGACTCCTCTTTTCAGAAAATCAAAACATGTGGGTATCGTTGAATTCTTAGCAACACTGGCTTTAGGTTTTGTGGGTCTTAACATTGTATTATTAGAGGATTTTCCAAAGGCTTTTGTATGGGTTGTGAGCCCATTCTGTCAGTGTACATTCCTGATTGGCATTGCCCAGGTGAGTAAGCTTAGTGTATACCTGTTTATTTACTACTTCTGTTGTGTGCAAGAACAGCTGAACAGCAACTTGATATACAAGATCTGTCCAACCTAATTTATTGATTAGGTTTGCATGCCCCCTGTCACCTTAGTAGTGAAGCTCCTCACAATCTACAAACACTTTTATTCATGTAATAGTACTCTCAAGTAAGAAAGTGCTGTTGTCCCTGTTGTACAGAGGAGGAACTAAGGTGCAGTAATAAGTTACAGTCATGTAATAAGTCTGTGGCAGGGTAGGGAATGATACTGGCTAGTGCCTTCACTGTTGCAGCATTCTTTTTCATTAAGATACAGATTGTACTTCTCAGATTACAGCTACATAGCAAACATTTAACTTATCTCAAATTCAAATACCTGGTGGTGAAAATATTTGTAAATATTTTTCTAGAAATCTTGCTTTTTTAATAATTTTTTTTCTTAGTCACAAGGAATTATTTAAAAAGAAGTCGTATGTTATGGCAAAAAAGCTTTAAATATCTGAAGTAAAATATTGTGTGTTGTGCCTTGCTTTTTTTTCTTTTTTTTGGCAGCAATACGACATCTTTGTATCTGCTCTATAGCAACACTCACCTTTCAGTTTTTAATTTATCGTTTGTAGTAAATCATTTTTGTATCATGCTGTTGTGTTTCATTTAATTGTAGACTAATGAAGATGCAATTCAGTAACACCCAAGTTGTTTCATGTTTGTTTCTAGGTTATGCATCTGGAAGATTATGATGATGGTGCACTGTTTTCAAATCTAACTCATGGTCCTTATCCGCTTGTTCTTTCTCTCATTTTACTGGTACTGGACAGCATGCTTTACGTGCTTCTTGCTGTCTACCTTGATCAGGTCATTCCAGGTATGTTACTTAGACTCGGATAAATACGGAACTGAACCACAGCTAGCTTCCAAATTTCAGAAGTCTTTAGCGCACAGTTTTGCTCTAAGTCAGGTTTAATTGCATGGCTGTTTTACAAACAAGTTACTTACTAAATGCCAGTGAGATATACTGTATTTAAATAACTGAGTGGTCAATTCAGTATCACCATTTCCTGTGTTCTTTGGCTTCTTTAATTGCAGCTACATGTCAAGGTAACTTTGGATCAAAAGAAAATAGGCAGAAGCGCAGCTCTTATTTGTAGAGCTTTAAAATATATATATTTTTTTAATTCAAATATTTTCTACTGTTGTGAAATCTGCTTGTGAAGCAGTCATGAAAAAAGTACCTGTTTGATACGTAGTCTGCATAGTTATGCCAATGCAAATACTTGAAAAATGTTTTATACCAGAGTAACTTTGATCTTTTGCTAACCAAACCATTTTTTCAGCTTTTGCAATTTATTCTTCTTGGGTTGAAAACTGAATGCCAGTGTGTGTATTCCAGATACTCTGTTTAAATTACTGAGTTTTAACAGCAGTGACACAACAAAGACTCCATTTGTTAAGCTTTGAACAAACCCCCGACTTGCATGCATGTGAGAATTTGCACTTTCTTTGCTGCTGAGCCTCTCTGTTGCCGTGCATTGTTTACTTAAGCCATCAGTCCCAAAGTCCTAGGTCCCAGTTCTTGCAAGTATTTAAGCACATTCATAAACCTACCTCTGTCTAGGAAATGCATTTAACTACATGCGAAAGGAAGTGCTTTGATGAATAGGGGTAGATTTGAATAGTTAAATACTTTCCAAAGTAGAGTCTTAGGGTTTGGCAGTGTTGGTTTAAATACACAGTATATGTGTGGCTTAAATAGAGATGCTCTCCTGATTTGGGCTCCTAGTAATGTGCTTAATCCCAAGTTTCATAGATGAACTCCAAATCGTGAGTCATGTCTGCACTAAATGTCCAGAGATTTTTCTTTCTCTTTTCTTACGCAGGTGAGTTTGGATTGCGGCGGACATCACTATTCTTTATGAAACCCTCATTTTGGTCAAAGCGCAGAAGAAATTACAAGGAGTTATATGAGAGTACTATTAATGGAAGTCTAAATTTCAGTGAGATGGTTGAACCGGTATCCCCTGAATTTCAGGGAAAAGAAGCTATCAGGTATGAGTTCATGCCACAGATTCATTTTAGCATCTCTCCTAAATTCATGCTATTTGAATCAAGAGAGCACATGGTATGCATTGTGTGTCTTATTTTACACCTTTAAAATAGCAGTTTTCCATTTCCAACGAGGCCATGTTACCTATTACGTGGATGTTCTCCAGGATAACAAAAGTGCGCTCAGGAAAACGTTTATGTAAAGTATGGCCATCAACTCAAACTCTGAAACATAGTCTTGATTTAGCTGGGCACAGGAGACAATCTATGTTCTTGAGCTTCACTAATGCCACAAGAGGCATAATGGCTTCAGGGGTGGAAAGGGTTTTTCTTAATCCTTTCAAATTAGATTCAGACATGTAACTCCCATTATTTTGTGTGTGAAGAGTTGTACGTTCCATCTAAACCACACGGGGGAGCTGCTTGACTAGCTAACTAAACATTTGATTCTAGTAACTTTTTGAGCTTACTTAGTCAATATGCTGTTCATTCTCTTACATCAGTGCTTCTCCGTACCGTCAGGTACTATCAGCGTTATTTAATCAAAGAAAGATCCTCCATATGAGCTCTTAATTCTCTGCTATTTTTGGTATTGTCTGTTAGAATGTCATGATGTGAATTGAGAAATAATAACTATTTATTTTTTCTTGCATGACTCCCCTAGTCTCAAACAAAACTTAGGGAGCTTAGTGGCCAAAATTCTGAATCTATTTGTAAAGTCTGTTTGAATAGACTTGGTACTGGCTGAAGAGTTTAGCTTTTCTCCCCAGAAGCTTCCCAGAAATTCACATAAAATGCTTGAAGCATTCCAATCCCTTTGTTCCATTCTACTGATTATTCTTCATCTGTCATGCTAGTCTCCCATCCTCCCATTTTATCATCCCCTCTCCCAATGAGTTTGTCCTCCTCACTCAGTTTCTTCCTCCCCTCCCATGCCATCACATCCAAACCCTGCTCTGCTCTCTAGATCAGAATGCACTTAACCTCATTGTAAGGTTGCCATCTAGTAAATTCCTTATTTTGATTAATTTGAGGAGTCATTAGATCAAATTGTACATAATAAAATCTTGCTTGGGGAGTAGGGAGTAGATGCTCACATTCATTTAATGTTATTTTAGCAAGAAAAAGCATCTCCTTGCCTGCTTGTCTTGCATTGCATGTTTTCTCCCTATCCTGTATCCATCTGTCAGATTTTGTGGATTGGTGCATAGACTGAACCTTTTTCAATATGTTAACTTGGGGGTTTTCAACCTTCGTTAGTCTAACTACACCCTGGCGGCCCAACACCAAGAGGAGGAGAGGGGGTAGCGTGCGGCTGAATGCCAAATGGGGAGTGGGGCGGGGTGGGATGGGTAGCACGCAACTGGACACAGGGCAGGAGGCTGGGACAGCCCAGGGTGGAGCACTGCCGCCTCCCAGCAGCAGGGCTGGGGCAGAGCAGGGAAGCTCACTGGGCTGGGGTGAGGGCAGTAGCGCCCCTCTGCAGGGCAGAGAAGCTCACCAGGCTGGTGTGTGGCAGTGGTGGCTACCACATGCAAGCTTCCCCACCCTATAAAGGAGCACTGCTTCCCTTGCCTTACCCAGGTCCTGCTCCTAGGAGGCGGCTGCACTCCGTCCCCGCCCGCCCATGCGTACCTCCTAGGACTGGTTCAAGTACCCCCAGGGGTACACGTACCCCCAGTTGACAACCCTTGTGCTTAAGTCTCAGTGTGGGCTGCTTTCAACCTGGCCTGCACTTCCACTGCAACTAAAGCCTCTATCACTGCTCCCTCCACAGTGCCACCACTGCCACTTCTCTCTGCCACCTGGGCAAAGCCCTCCAGCTCTGAGCTCCATGGTTCAGTGGGCCAGATCTAGCCCATGGGCCACAGGTTGCTGATTCCTGGATTAGTATATTGGTGTTGTTGGAAAAAAGTAATGCTGTGTGTCATAGTGATTACTCAGCCATCTGGACAGAAAATGTTCAGTAAATTAACAGAAGTATTCTTGCCAGAGTAAAGAGGCAATAAGATGAAAACTGTTCCAAGAAATGTTGCCAAAAATGCCTACACTGTGCTTGCCTACAGCTCTGCCTTCAGACAATTTTTGTGCAACTTCAACAGAAAAACACATGACTTCAGCACAGTCTTGCTGCCTGTATAATCATTGCAAAGTGATATTTTCTTTTGCAAGGAAAGATTTTTAAGGCCTTTTATTCTTTTTGTATGATTACATGTCTTCTTTCAGAATCAACTCCGTTCAGAAAACTTTCAGAAAAAAAGGTGAAACTGTGGAGGCTCTCAGAAGTAAGAAAGTTTCTAACTTTTCAGCTACTTAATAGAAGTGCAAGGAAAAATAACTTAACAATGTAGGGACCTTTTTTTTTCCTTTTGCCAGAGGGGTGGGTCTCAGAGCATGAAGCCCTATGCCTTCTTATGTGCGTTTTCCTCCTACCTTAGTCTGCCTTTAGTTATATGCCAAAAGGGGCTGTTGCCTCAATAAGGCAGAGCCTAATGGCAGCTGTAGTTATTTGATCCTCTTCATTGTGGGGTTTTGTTTTCCCCCTGCATGTTCCCAGTCTCCTTTCTTGTTTCCAAACTACAGCAAGTAACCACAGAGCACCCTCTTTCCAGATTCCTTAAGAGGATGACATGAAAACCTCTAAACTCAGGTTTCCTCATGGGAAATCTAATGCCAGCTTTTTATTTACTACTGCCATAACAGTGTTTACCATCCTGAACTGAAACCTGATGGCAAAAAAAATACTGCTTTGAATATAATGTAAACGCATATCCTATATACCAGTATTTGAATTTAGCACGCTGATATAAATCTGTCTACAGATCTACAACATTAATTTCTCTTTGTCTCTTGTTCCTTTTCTTCTTTGGATTAGGTCTATCATTTGATATATATGAGGGTCAGATTACAGCATTACTTGGACATAGTGGAACGGGAAAAACAACACTGATGAACATTCTTTGTGGACTTTGTCCACCTTCTGATGGTGAGAAATCTTGGGCTTGGTGGTGAGGGGGACAGAATGGATTTGTTATCATCTGTTTAATGGTCTCATTTGTTTTTCCTGCCCTCAAACCTCAGGCCATTTATCTTTGAGCATATTGCAGGATTCAATCATTTTTTTTCTTGAGGTTTTCATCTGAGAGGGGTTACTTTTATTAATTTTTTAAATAAGCATCTCTGTTTTGGAACAATTGAGTAAGCTACTTTATGGTGAAGGTCAGAGTTCTAGTTGGGTTGAAAAATTTTCGTTTTTTTACTTTTCTTTCAGGGTTTGCATCTGTTTATGGATACAGAGTCTCTGAAATTGATGAAATGCTGGAAGTAAGAAAGATTACTGGTGTCTGCCCACAATTAGATATACATTTTGACATTTTAACAGTGGAAGAAAATTTATCTATATTTGCTTCAATAAAAGGGATACCTCCCAATGATTTGATACAAGAGGTAAATCGGACAGTTATAAATCGTGTGCAAAGTGCATTTATTTTTAATTTAATAGGGCAAAATAGTTGTATGTTATGGAAGTAGCTTTGCAAATCTCACTTACCAAAAAAGACTTATCGAAAGAGAATATTAAAAGGTATTTTCTTTACAGTTTGATTTTTATATTTTATGAGTAGAACATTCACAGACCGTCAATGTTAACATTTTCAGAGGCTTATCCTTAAAGGTACAATGTGATTGGCCTTCCTAGTTTGAAGTTTAAGACCTTGATTCTCTAATGGGCTTTGCATTGCTTATGGTGAATTTACATCAGGATCCAGACAGAATACTAATTAAAAACATATATTGCAATTTGCTGAAAATTAATACAAAGTTGTTGATAATTATGGCAGTCAATTTTTCATGTCTGTTGTTGTTTTTATTTACATAGAACCCTTGTTTTATTTTTAAAGGTGCAGAAAGTACTGTTAGATTTGGATATGCAGCCTATCAAGGACAACCAAGCTAAAAAATTAAGTGGAGGGCAGAAAAGAAAACTGTCTATAGGCATTGCTGCTCTTGGGAATCCCAAGGTGAGGAGGCACAAGCCCAGTGTCTGTGTTACTCCTTGCTGCATGTTATCTGAGTGCACATTCCATCCAGTTGTTTATATTACTTGGTGATTAAACTATGAAGTACCAAATAAGTAGGTACAAAATAGTTATTGTGTGAAACTGGTCTGCTGTTTCCAACCATCTCTGGTTTAAAGCCATTTAAAATTTCCAAGCTCAACCTTAACTCTGCAGGGATTGAAGTGTGGTTGGTTCAATAGCAGTAACAGTAGATTAGATCATACTTTTTTTTTTCTGTGACAAGTCTGTGCAAAAAGTTGGCTGCGTCTGGAGGGGAATATTGTATAATTTTGGGTAACATCACAAGAGAAGTTGTCAAAAGAAACAGGCATGTAGGTAGTGGTGATTGGCACGCTATTTAGCTTTGCAATTAATTGACTAAAACAAAAATGATTCCCACACTACCTTTAGACAAATAAACAGTACAGTAAAATCTCTGTTATCCAGCATCCCCGGGGTAAGGGGTTTGCCAGTTATGTAAAAACTCCAGTTATCTGAAATAACCCGGCAGGGTTTTCAGATAATGCAGGGGGTAGGTGGCAGTGGCTCCCACACATGGAGCAGCAAACACGCAGGGTGGTGGGTGGCAACAGCACCCACCATGTTCCAGCTTTCCCCCGCTCCCTCCAACCCCGCATCCGGACGGCAGAGCAGGGGGGTGCTGGCGGCTGCGTGCAGAGCAGCAGAAATGCATCGTGGTGGGTGGTGACAGCCACTGCCGCCGCATGTAAGCTTTCTGTGTCCCCCTGCCCTGCATCCGGCCAGTAGCTGGAAACTCCGGTTAATGAGAGTATTCCGGTTGGTGAAGTACTGGATACAAGAGATTTTAATGTATATTAAAAACACCCCTTCCCCTCCCCTCTGCCCCCCGGGTTGACATAACGGTCTTGGAATTAATAAGCTTCTTGCTATAGCTATCATAGCTGTGAGGGTGGAGAATTTGGAGTTTGATCCCTTTTTTTTATTTCTAATCATGGTAGGTTTTACTTTTGGATGAACCAACTGCTGGCATGGACCCATGTTCACGGCATGTAATTTGGAATCTCCTGAAAAATCGAAAGGCTAATCACGTAACAGTATTCAGTACACACTTCATGGATGAGGCAGATATTCTTGCTGGTAAGCTTTGCTATTGCCTTATGTGATACATTGTGTTTGAGGTGATGTAAAGCGAATGGGAGTTGTACTATATATAAAGGGACATTGTGTTTCTTCTGATGTTCAAGGAATGCAGCATTTTCTCTGTTTAAATCATGCAGCTGTTTTAGGTGTAGAAGTAGGGTTCTTCAATTAAAAGTCCCTTGTGTTTTGTTTCTAGATCGAAAAGCTGTGATTTCTCAAGGGATGTTGAAATGCCTAGGCTCGTCTCTCTTTCTTAAAAGCAAGTGGGGTATTGGGTACCGGTTGAGGTATGTTTTGGACACTTTTAGTGCATCATCTTTTATAGTTGTTTTGTCTTCCCTGCTAGGCAAGGAATTGTGCTTTGACATATCCCTGCTAGATGTTGAAAGATTTGTTTCCTGTTTGGGACAATGAAGTTCTGCTCTTGCTGTGCTTTATTTTTCTTTGCTGACCACAATTTCTAAAAATAGTGAAGAGAGAGAATTTAAAATAGTACTCTTTTATGTGTGTTCTTGTGTGTTTTCTAGCATGCATATAGATGCCTATTGTAATATAGAAGCTACAACCTCCTTGATCAGACAGCATATACCAGGAGCCAGTCTGATGCAACAAAACGAAGAGCAACTGGTGTACACCTTACCTTTTAGAGACATGGACAAGTTCTCAGGTATGACCATTACTGCAATTCAGTGCTGAGCAAGTATGGGGAAAAAATCCATTGAATTGTTTGTAACCCACACTATTTTCAGACAAGTCTGTTATTTTTCTTATAGAACTTCAGAAGTTTATAATTTGGCAGTGCAAAGTGACAGTAATGCCAAAGTTAGTTGGCAAGTTGTTTGCCTCTTATCCCAGTCAGTCACTCATTTCACAGGTAGGTAAGCATTTCAAGCGCCTCTGGAGCAGGGATGGGCAAAACACGGCTCGTGGGCTGGATCTGGCCCACCAGGCTAGTCTATCCATCCTGCAAGGCCTCTAAAAAATTTAGAAAATTAATATTTATCTGTCCTTGGCTGCCTGTCAAAGATGACAAGGCACTAGGGGCAGTAGCACGCAGTGGGAGCCAGCAGCAGGACCCAGCGGCTGCAGCAGCAAGGCCCGCTGACTCCACCCCACCCTCAGCCCTTCCTAGGGAGCTGTTCCTGCTTCCCTCTGCCCAAGGGAAATTCAGATAACAAGGATGGGGGGAGGCAGGGGAGGACTGCGGGTGATTTCCCTAGTCCCCAGGGACCAGGCGGCTCCTGCCATCCTGGCGCTGCAGCTAGGAACCATGTGGTGCCGGAGCGGTGGGTAGGGGGTGGGGAGAGGAGTGGCGGTGGCAGGAAAGTGGGAAAATGGCAGTAGCAGGCGGTGGGAGAGTGGCAGCGTGCAGGAGCGCAGCAATAGCTGGGCAGGAGTGTGAGGCCTGCACCGGTACGCCGGGGCCAGCGCTGGCCGGGGCCTAGAGCGGGGCAGCAGGAACACAGGGCTGGCTCCCCACTCCCTGCTGGTGCAGCGCAGCCTAGCTCCATGGAGCCGCTGTCAGCCTGGGCCCTGCGCTCCTGTTGCCCCACTGTAATTTTTATTGTGGAACAGTGAAAATCGTCCAGAGTACACTGACTAGTAAAGTTGTTTCAAACTGTTTAATTCAACTGCAGAAACTATTTAAATCCTCAAAAAAGTTGTTCTCTATTTGGAGAGTCAGCACTGTAATTTCGGAGGGACTGTGCTGTGTTTTTCATACTGAAAGGCTTCTTTTTCAGCCTGCTTGTTAAGTGCAAAAATAATCTGGGCTGTAACTCTAGAGCCATGACCTACATCATTATAATTAGTCAATTGTACTTATTCATTAGCACATCACACTGATAGAAGTCTGCTTTTCGGTTGCACTGTGCTTTTTAATTAAATCAGAGACTTTTGGTGAGAAAATACAATAATTATTTTTAACAACCACATTCTTTTTCTTCTATTGTCAGGATTATTTTCTGATCTAGACACTCATTCACATTTGGGTGTTATTACATACGGAGTTTCCATGACAACCTTGGAGGATGTGTTCCTGAAGCTAGAAGTTGAAGCAGAAATTGATCAGGCAGGTGAGGCATGAGTACAAAATCACCCCACACCATTTGTGAAAATGTATTTTAGGACTTGATAATTTGTATAAAATTATAATTAGTCTTTTTTATAATAAAAGTCAGTTAACCTTTTGAAACAGATTTGAAAAAAATCTCTTCTGTTGAGTCTTATGTCAGAGAGGGTGTGATACTTACAATTGCACAGTATTCTAGGCTCCTGAAATAGCTGACAAGAGAACAAACAAAAGACAGTCATTGGAAACTTATATTTGTCACAGTTCAGGGCTGCATAGACTTTGTTCTTGCTTTCTTCAATGAGGAAGTTCACTTATGATCCTTATTTCTGATTTTCCTGGCTCTCCAGCCCTGCTCTGCTAGGATATAGGTAAACTTCATGGCCAAATCCTGAAAAACATACTTTTCTTTTTCCTCTTGAAATTTTGCGCTTGCACTCATAGATTTCATAGATTTCATAGACATCAGGGCTGGAAGGGACCTCGGAAGATCATCGAGTCCAGCCCCCTGCCCAAAGGGCAGGAAGTCAGCTGGGGTCATAGGATCCCAGCAAGATGAGCATCCAGTTTCATCTTGAAGGTGTTCAATGAAGGCGCTTGAACCACCTCCGGTGGCAGGCTGTTCCAGACCTTGGGGGCTCGGACGGTAAAGAAGTTCTTCCTTATGTCCAGCCTGAAACGATCTTGAAGTAGTTTGTGACCATTCGACCTCGTCATCCCTTGGGGCGCTCTGGTGAACAAACGTTCCCCCAGATGCTGGTGGTCACCCCTGATAAACTTGTAGGTGGCCATCAGATCACCCCTGAGCCTGCGCTTTTCCAGGCTAAAGAGCCCCAGGGCTCTCAGCCTGTCATCGTAGGGTCTGCTTCCCTGACCTCTGATCATGCACGTGGCTCTTCTCTGGACTCTCTCAAGCTTCTCCACATCCTTTTTGAATTGTGGAGCCCAAAACTGGACACAGTGCTCCAGCTGCGGCCTCACTAAGGCTGAGTACAGGGGGAGAATGACGTCCCGGGATTTGCTTGAGAAGCATCTATGGACGCAAGCCAGCGTTTTGGTCGCTTTACTAGCCGCCGCATCGCATTGCAGGCTCATGTTCATCTTGTGGTCAGTGATGACCCCCAAGTCTCTTTCTTGCATAGTGCTAGCCAACATAGCACTGCCGAGCCTATAAGGATGCTGCGGGTTTTTTTTCCCAAGGTGGAGAACCTTGCATATCAGCGTTGAACACCACAGATTCTCGTCCGCCCACTTGCTGAGCCTGTCCAGGTCAGCCTGGATAACCTGCCTGTCTTCTGGTGTGGATGCTTTGCCCCAAAAGTTTGGTGTCATCGGCGAACTTGGCCAGTCCGCTTCTGACTCCAGTGTCCACATCATTAATGAAGATGTTGAACAGTATGGGTCCAAGGACAGAGCCTTGGGGGACCCCACTGGTCACAGGACACCACGATGAGTGACTTCCATCAATTACTACCCTCTGGGTCCGACCCCAGAGCCAATTTTCCAGCCAG